CAGCTACTTCAATCAATGACACTTTACTTTCAGGAAACAAGAACTGCGTAAACAATGATTATTTGGACTGAGAGCCTAAAGTAGCTAGTTCTAGTCAATACAACGTGCAAATAAAGATTTAAACGTCAGCTGCAAGAAAATAAAACAAAAATGAAATATAAATGCACTTACACTTTCACACAAATTTACTCCTGTAATATATAGGTGCTATCAGAACTTATAACTTGCTGTACATAGGTATTTCCTTAAAACATAATTAACATCAGGTCATACAATTTGTAACGACGTATACAGAGGTTCGAGTTCGGGTTCAGTTGTGTTCAGTTTAGCGTTAGTCATTCAAAATACAAAAGTTCTTGGTTAGTGATAGGCAGACAAGAGTCCCAGAGTCGAGCGGCTCAAGTGGGACTCTTGTTCACATGTTTTAGAACAGCTAGAAAAAGTGACTTGCATGCTAAAGTGAAATTACATGCTATCTTAAATCTCAACATGTTTCACAATATAACTCCACTAAATTATACTACTGTTTTCTCATACACATTATGACATTTAGAAAATTGAACCTACCATTTCAAAGATAACGTGCATTGCGAATGGAAATGGAAAAGAAGTCAATAGACAGAGGTCGAGTTTCTAATAGCTGCATGACTTATTGGAACAGCAATTTCGTCATCATGTATCATCAGAACTGTAAAAATGCATATCGATTAAAAAACATTACCGTTTTATGTAAATATTGCACATCCCACTCTTGATCAAAAGCAGTAATAGATGTGACAATGAAGCAATACTACTATGCAGATTAATTGATTTATACGTGAAAACTCGACTTACTGCAGAAGCTCAAAAAAAAAAAAAATGAAGAGAGAGACAGGAAACAGTGCAGTTTTCTGTCTTCCTTCTCGTTTTCCTTCAGCTTGCACAGCAAGTTGAAATTTCAAGGATGTGACATTGACACAATGAAAAGTAGACTGTATGAGGTATAGCTTGAGAAAAGTACTAAAGGGCTCTTATTAAAGTTTAGCAGCCATAGTCTAGCTTTGATAAACATTCTGTACTTCCTCACGGCAGCAATACTTCTCAAAAAAGATAACCCCTTCATGATTTCAAAGGGAAGACTTGCTGATTAGGAGCATTGTTTAATGAAAAGGGCAAAGGGACACTAAACATGAACATTGACTTGGTTTAGATTAACAATATGCACTCCGAGAACTCTAAAGCCACACACTTCACTTATCAGAAGTTTTTGTTCAGCAGAGAAAATCAAGGTTGAAATTTCATTTTTATAATTTGCGCAATCTCAGCGCATGATATAGGAAATTCCAAAATCTATATTCAGTATGTTTCTGACACTACCTCAATGAAATTTCCCGAAACAATGTATTCTAGGTCTAGTGGCACCCACAGATTACAATATACTTAATTTTCATCTGTTGAAACCTACGCAGAACCCAGTAGACGCTTTCAAAATTTCTGGTGTTACAATGTTTGGTGCAGGAATCTCAAGGTGGCGTTATTACCAGCATTTTTATTCCGCGCGTTTTCTCGCTTACTAAGCATCACACCGTAGTAAGAGTGGTATTTTTGGGTTTGCAAAATGGTGCTTTACTAATACACAGAAAATTGTTTTGCTCTTTAGTGTTCCTTTAGGAAGTGCAGTATCAATGTGTTTTACCTGAAAGATTCTTTTGCTTTGGCACAATTATTAGTCAACTGATTTTCGGAAAACCATCCAAAATATTCAACAGATTACTTGTCAAACCATTTTGTAGAGCTGCTATAAAGAGTCCTTAAAAAATAAAGCTGTATCATTTGTGCAGAGGAATGCCCTTTTCACATGCTTGCATCTGCAGATAAAAAATCGAAAAAAAAGAAAACAGAATAAAATGTCAGAGGTCTATAAGAAAAAGAAATGGTATCAGAAGACTAAAGAAGTCTTGAAAAATTACTGCTGAAACCCACTTTTATGCCTCATCACTCAAAGCAATTTGGCCAGTGCTCAAGTCATTTTGACCTTAGTGCGACACGAGTTAGAGTTCTCAACCTTATGACTAAGTTGCCTTCAAAAATACCTCTCACCATCTGTTCCTAGTGTAGCAACAATGGTTTAAGGTATCAGTTTGACCTATGAGAGACAGTGTGCCAGGCAAGGGACCAAAGTTCACACAAGCATCATTTTAACTTCACTGGTAGAGGCCAAAAGAGTGCATTTGCAAATATTGTGTCTGCCTCTCTAAGTTTAAGAAATGTGATGTGATAGCGAAAAAGAAAAACTGAATTATGCAGAAGATCATTGAAGCACATGGCTGCCTGTATTACTTCATGTGAAAGGCAGTCTGCCTTAATCAGCTAAGACATGAAGACGGCTTCTGTTGAACTGGTTCTTTATAGATACGGTTGAACACGAATATATTGAACTGTTAAGGGATCACAAATTAGTTCAATATATGAAAAATTCGATATAAAAAAATTGAGGCCTTGAGAGCTCACCTGTAGCCAATCATCACCTACAATAAGCACATTCAAGAATGACAACTAATTCCACAGACACGCCGCACCAGAATGATTTATTTGCGTGAAAAAAAAAAAAAACGCTAATCTTGGCATGCTTTTTCGTTTTTAAAGTGTTGGAGATGCTAGTCTCGACTTTATCAAGGCTGTCCAGTTGAGACAACCCGGTTCCCTTCATGTGGCCGATACAGCGGTGAATGATGCCGAATGCTGCCACCATTTGAGCGGCGGAGTATGCCCGTCTAGCCAGCACCTTGTCTGAACAATCCTTCTCGTCACATGAGCCGTCAGCCTAGACAATGCAGTCCACTTCCACGAAGTCGGTTGCAGACACTTCATGTGAAACTGCTACTGGGAAGCGGGACAACAACTTGCAAAATGGGTCGTCTATGCGCTCGTTGTCATCTTCACTGGTTTCATCAAGTTTTACTGTCTCGAAGCCTGCCTTGAGCAAGCAGTTGACCAATGTGTCCATCTTCACGTCTCACCAAGTGTTGAAGAACTTCGCAGAGATTTGCAGCCACTCCTTCGTCATCCATTGCTGGATGTCCTGGTTTTGCAAGAAATGGTTTTGCCAACATTGGTGTAGCGCTGCTGAAATTAGTGAAGCCACCAGGTGTTGTCGGCGAAGTTATTTCACCGAGTGCAACGGCAGGCCATATGGCCTTGGCGATCAGCATCGGACAATCCACCGGAATGTTCTTCGTACGCACTTCTTAAAACCAGCCATAGAGTGCCTTTTCTACATTCCCGTGCGCAAACGCACACACATGATAGGCTCCCGACGTTCACTGCTCGGCTGCTTTTGCCTTGATATCTTCCCTGCTTTTCAACAAGGTGCTCAAGTGCTCCGTGGTATCCCAAAGTCATCCACGGCAGTCGAAGGTTTCTCGCCCGCTTTAACAAGCTGAATAGCCTTCAACTTCGTCGCCAAGTCAAGGGCCTCATGCTTCTTGATGCTGGCCATAGCTACACGAGAAGTCGGCAATTCAAGGAGTCTTCAGTGGCTTTGCACACCACGCACGGAAAAGAAAAATGTTGCACATGTGGTGGTACATAGGCAACGCGACAGGTGGTTGTGGTTAGATGAAGGAAAAGACAGCCTAATTTTTGCAGCCCTTGAGCGAGCACGACGCAGTGTCAGCGAAAGCAACGAGGCGCTAGCAAGGCGATGGCCACCTGCGAGGACAATAGCAAAAGGCGCGAGCTGTGGTTGGTTGATCAAACCTTGCAAAGCAGCAACAAAAAATAAAAAAAAAGGGAAAAAGGAGAATGACATCGACCCCTTCGTTCCTGCTCTCAGAGTTCATGGGTACGCAGAGAAAGCATGAGAGAGAGAAAGAGAAATGAAAAAAAAAAAGGAGGTAGTTCTGCAAGTTAGAGATTATTCAGTCGGAGCCCTCTCGCTCTTTTTTCGAGCGTTTCGGATTTCAGCGGAGGCGTGGTGTCGTGCGGAGGTTGTTGGGCACTGGGAGTACTAAAACGCGCCTTCTAAATCGTGTGCGGAGCCACGCTGCCTCGGAGATCGCGGGGGAGGGAGCAGGGCGCAGCAAGTGCCAAAGCGCATCTTCCAAAGGCAAGTAAAAATACCATTCGATATAAACGTGCAAATTTCTATAGTTTTACAAAGGAACTTCAAGAGGACAACTCGCGAGTTCGATATACACACAAATTCGATATATGTGGGTTCAATATAACCGTGTTCGACTGTATAAACAACCCTTTTTTCAGCTACATTTTTTGTCCCATGTCGATAATGTACATTATTGCACATTCATCAATCAGTGTAATAAAGCCAGTTGATGGGCAACATATTGACTACCATTTCTCATTGCACTCTGTTTGCGTGCTCTTGAAAAATCCTTGTAACACTGAACGTCATTACCAAAGCAGTTTTCAAGGCAGTTGAAAAAGACAAGACCCTGTTCTGAAATGTAGACTCCTGCGAGATCCCAAGAATTTTTCACCACTTATATCTCCACTGCCTCATCCGTCAGCTACTGCTGTTAAGCTAGTAACGCCACCTTCACCCTCCACTTCAATACCTATCTCGGGTGCCTTTCCTCCTGCTGTTGCCAGTGCTGGTGAAGTGTGCACTATGACAGTAATGTGTTTAGTAGAAAAGCACAGAGCGTTAAAAAGCTTTCATAATGCTAACTGCTAGAAGTTTTACATGCCGAAACCTCGACATGTTTATAAGGTGCACCTATAGCAGGAGCCTCCATATTAGATTGTACTACCTGGGGTTATGTTTTTTAATGTGTGCCTCAATCTAGGTGCACTATAAATTTTATGCTCATCAAAATGTGACAGCTATATGGTCACAAATAAATGCTTGGCATTGCAAGACCTTACATGCTAAGCTGCCACAGCAGGTGTTTTTTTCACGGAAGCTGTTATTGGCGATTGTTGTTGCAGGAAAAAAAATATCTTAAGAGTTTCTACAGCTAGGGCAATAAAAGCTATACGTTTTAAAGTAGTTCAGTCACCTCATGATCAGGGTCCAACTCCAAGGCCTTATTGAAGTACATGAGGGCATCATCTGGTCTGCCTTGCTCCAAAATCACAACACCTAGCTGAAAGGAGAAGTGGCAAGTAATAATGACATGTCTTATAAAAGAAGCAAAACAATAAAGTGGTATCAATCGGCAGAATACCAGCACCTAGCTGAAAGGAGAAGTGGCAAGTAATAATGACATGTCTTATAAAAGAAGCAAAACAATAAAGTGGTATCAATCGGCAGAATACCAGCAGGCCCTAAAAGCATGAAATCTTTTTCTCCTAAAATTTTAAGTAAAATATGCGCATCTCTGTATATGCACTGCAAATCAAACATGTCATATAGTCAAATGATTGGAATGAGTATATCACTTTTTATTTTGGTCCTCTAAGCAAAAAAGTGATATATAAGATTAGCCGGTCAGACCTGATAAACTTCACTGCTATGGGCATTGCTGAAACCACATACAACCATAGGTCGACAAACCAATGGAGTTTGTGGGGTCTCGAAATGAGGCACGCTGCTCTCAGAACGAACGAGCACAGCAGAGTGGTTGACCCACCAAACAAACACATTTAACTACTTTTAATCGACAATATCCTCAGCCAAATCCAATACATAACTAGTGATCAACATGCTAAAATATAACCTTATACAACATTACAATACACTTACAACATAAGAACAAACACAAGGTAGCGTGAAGGTGTCGTCGCCAATGTGTGACTCACCACAAGGCCAAGCCCACCACAAGGCCAAGCCCAACACAACGACCCGCAGTGCCGCTGCCACGAATCCACAGCTGGAGACAACTGCTCGTGCCAGCCGCCACACACCAAAGAGCGTCCCCAGTACACTATGTGCCGCCATTCACCTGCCAGGCAGCACTGCTGGCACTATTGAGCTAACCATGATGATGCTGATGACGGTGAAGATCGCTTACGGGTACTGCGCTACCCACAACGACTCTAAGTGCAACTGGCTTATTCGTGAGACACATGTGTGCCATGAGGGGCAAATGACATTACAGGCGGTGATAGCACACCCCTTTGGACTCGCTCACACAATAAATCTTGTGTTTAGAACTCACTTCACTATAATTTTCTTGAGCTGTACTCATCGGACTAACACTCACAAAAATTTTCTTCAATCAGACTCACTTGAGCTCAAACTCGTCAAAATACCACTCACCCGGCCTCACTCAAACTCAGGCTCACGGAGTGATCCGAGTCTGAGTGAGCCCTAATGAGTGAACTCATGAGTGAGTTGGCCGACCTATGCCTACAGCGACAAAGAGTACCAACATACATTGTAAAAGATGTCAGGGTTTGTGGCATCCAGGGAAAGGGCTTGCTCGTAGACCTCTTGTGCTTCCTTGGTCCTGATCAAAGAAACATGTAACAATTTATTTATCAGAAGAAAAGTAATCTATGAAATGGGCTCATATAAAAAGAACTGATGAGGCGTTTACTACAAGGCAATTAAGAAGATCACAGAATGAATAACTTCAACATCACTGCAAGTGATATGACACACCAGCTGGGGTGTGCATAGTACTTTGATGTGTACGAGGGCAAAAAATTTTACAATGAAAGCTGAGTGGCAGATCTTGACTGCAAGGCAATGAAAAAACGACTATGTTAAAGGAAAAACATCAAGGCAGTCAGTAATGTGAGTACCGTGCATAACATATGATGTGTTGTTTTAAATGCAGTTAAAACACTGTTGAAATCATCCTTCTTGTGATGCACAAAGCATAGCTGTTTATTTTCGCAAGACCTTTGATAGCATAATTTTTCATTCACGTGTCACTTCATTCGTTGAAACATTTGCAGCAATTAAGCTGAATGTTGAGGATTGGAACAAGCCAAAAGGTCAAGCACAGGGACGAGGAGTTGCAGACACAGTGAATGTTTGTTAAACTTCCCAGTGCTTCATCTTTTGGCTGGTTTGACTATTAGAGAACCAGATAAGAAATAAATTAACTGGCTGAAAAAAAAAGTGTGTCCATACCTGTTTAGTTTGATCAGAATATCTCCGCGGTTGATATATGCTTGAATATAATCTACACGCATACTGATTGCCTGGCGGTACAACTGAAAGAGAAAAATTCATAATAAAATAGTGGTTTTGGAACGTTAAACCCCACAAGTCAATGAATCAATCATGAAAGAGAAAAATGAAGCTTTCATTAAACAATGAAGTCAATGGCAGCTTACACATATGTGAGTGTGTAGGGCCAACCTAAATGAAAAATGAATCATAGTGTTAAGGTATTTACTAGCTGGCACACAGCAACAAAGCGTAATGGCCATAATGACAGCAAGGCACGTACTCTTAGTGCAAGTGGTGTGCTTTTTGAAGAAGACCCACTAGAGGGTGCTCGAAAGTGCAATCCAGTTCCAAGGCTTCACTACAATTCACCTCGGGTACGAAAACAGAGACGTGCGGCGGCCTAACAGTTTGTCGATACGAGCGAGTCATGGTAGGCCTTCAGGCACTCCATGTTGACATTGTCGAGAATGTTTGATGGCTTCGATCAGGTAGTTGACTGGGGATGTGCGCTTGATGACACGGTAGAAGTATGTGCATTTCGGCAGTAGTTTTGATTCCGAAGAGAGGCCAGCTACAGAGGTAGGGACCGAGAGCCATACTACCGCTCCAGGGAAGAATGTGCACACTAAAAAGTGCTGGAGCCATCACAAATACTCTTCTGCCGCTTTTCTTCATTCGTCCTAAATGTCTCGGCGAGTCATATTTGCAAGTTTTTTCATCGCACAAACATACGAAAAAAAAGAAACAGGGTAGACAAAAAGAGCACTGACTTCAAACTAACTTTATTTTGCAGAGTGGCAAAATATGTATGCATTGAAAAGGACGATACAGGAAAATAAAAGACAAGCCTAATCAATTAGTCAGTATCAAAACATGGGTGACGGGTCCTCGATTGCCACAAAGCTCAGCCACGCAATCATGTTTTAACTGTGAGAAAGCAACAGATGCTATTTTGGTGCTCCTACAAAGATACAGCATCTCTGGCAAAGTTTTGCGTCCACTAGAGATATGGCAGCTCCAGTTAAGGGCAGATGCGCGAATATTGTCCACAAACACATCAATGACGTTAAAAGGATTTCGCTTGGGCCTTTCGTAGTTCCATACATTGCAGCCCTCGCCCCATAGACTATGACAACTAGTTTTACTGCTTTTGAGCAGCCGAACTTGGCAGCATCGGTGATGGCGATCGACGCCTTAAGGGGAGATGCTACTCAAAGACACTTTTTTAAAATATTAACTGTAGAGCAATGAAACTTGAGCTGTTTATGAAACTTAGTATGCTGATTTCAAATATATAACTAGTTTTCTTGCAAGTTGCATACATCCAGCTTCTGCGACATGACAAAGTGAAAACCTTAACCCTATTGCCCCCCCCCCCTCTTTTCATCCCTAAACTTCCGTAATTTTTTAGCACTCAAAGCTCATAATGCTTCAAATAAAGCGTGGTATGTAAATAACTAATTACGAAGCACATACAAAATATGTGATAGGTGTGAAAAATAATAGACATTAAAAAGTCCGTATTTCACCCGGCCTAGTAAAGGTTTACATACAATTTTTCATTATGTAATAAAATATTGAAATTTAAACTAGATAACTGTATTTGTCATACTTTTGGAAAAAAAATTGGGCAAAATTTCATGCAGATCCAAGCACTAGAAGTGCCGGAAAAAGGAGAGGAACATTAAAAAAATGGCAAGATTTGTCTTTTGAGAAAAATGAACTGTGACGTTAAAATTGAGCTTTTATTTATGAAAGACGTCATCAAATGCGATGAAATTAGCACACCAAAAAGAAAAATCCGTCTTGTAGTGGCCACTGCCACTAAACTACGCCCACACCATAATTTGTACTTCTCGGCTTTTTCGAACCGACTCCTCACAGACAGGGCCATGAAACGCTTGCCAAACTTCTTCCATTCCATCTGGCCGAGCCTTGTGCTAACTGCAAGCTAGGAAGAAGTTTGACAGGACTGCGAAATCTAAACTAAGTCCAGTGTCGAGAGACAACAGTGTCGATGCCATTTTGCAGCATGTTTGTGCCACATACCGTCGTACATAATGGCAATGTTGTCTCAGAAAAGTTTCTTCGACCTTGTAAGATTGGCGCTGACATCATTTATTTCTGCATCACGAACTTTCTGGCTGATGGCTGTGAATGACTTTTGATGCATTGGCATTTGCAAGCCAACTGCCTCAACTCAGACCAGCTGCTCGCAGCTTATTTCTACAGAGCGCATCACCACAATGGCTTTCACACACGAGGAATGGCTTTTTTCATTCATAAAAGAGATAAAATACATGAGAAAAGCATTGTTCAGCTGCTCTGCTCATCAAGACATGGACCCCGCAAGTGGGCTTCACAGCACATACAGCCGCGCAGCGGCCAATGGCGGTCCCCGATCTGTACCACATGATAAGGCAGTCGCGGGCTCGAAATATGCGCAAAATTGTGCTTCTTTTTATTATTTTTTGTGCCGCATCAGAGAGGGAAACTGTCGTGGTTTGAACAGTGAGGCTCGACTATTCGCCTCATGCGATCGACAATGGCGAGCGGCGGCCCATTATTGGCGGCAAGGTGCTCAAAGACTGCACACTTTGGACCTTTTAACAGGCACCTTGTGCTCTTTAGATGCAATTTGGAAGCATTTCCAGTGAAGTCTCGACCTGTATTTTTTTTTTTATAACAGTAGAGGTATTATTCTTATCAAGCAGCGGTGCACATAACAGTAGAGGTATTATTCTTATCAAGCAGCGGGCAGCGGTGCACAAAGCGATCAGACGGCAAAAATACATCTGCAATTCTTTGCAGGTAAGAAAGAGGTATCCCTCGACTACTTTCCTTGCCTTTTGCACTGCTGCCGGACAAACATTTTTTTTTCTTCTTTTTGTACTTGTCAAGTGAAGTTCCTATCATGAGTAAGGGTGACAAGAAAGAAATCGCAACGTTAATCTCTGATTTTCAACGGGAAATACGTGCCGAGATAAGGTCACTAAAAGAAAGCCTGAAATTTTGCTGCGATACATGCGATGAAGTAAAGAAAATAGGATCCGATATCAGGGCACTAAGAGCGGAAGTAAAAGAACTGGTTTCTCAGAACGAAAAACTAAAAGCCGAGAATCATCGGCTTGAAAAGAAAGTTGAAGAACTTGAGCAATATCAAAGAAGTAACAATCTTGAGATAAAGGGTGCACCAGAGGAACTTGACTCAACTATCGTCGTGAAAAAGATAGGTGAGCTTGTGGGCGAGCCAATATCTGACAGTGACATCGACATCTGTCACAGGGTGTCGACGGCAAAAAGGAATGAACGGAACATCGTTGTCCGGCTCATCTCGCGCAACAAACGTAATGCGGTGCTCGCAAAAGCAAAGAAACAAAGGATCCTTTCTAGTCACCTCGATTACGAGGGAGCGGAAAGCGTTATTTATGTTAACGAGCACCTGACGCGACAGAACAAGCAGCTTCTTGGCGCAGCCATAGCAAAAAAGAAATCTGCAAAATGGAAATTCGTATGGTCTAGTGGAGGAAAAATTCTTGCGCGCAAAGATGAAACGTCAGATGTAATCCGGATAACAAGCCCAATTGATTTAGGTCTCATTAAGTAAAGAAAGGGGAAGGGAAGGAGAAGAGAAGGCGGATTTTTTTTTCACCATGTCTACTATAGAAACAACAATACCAATAATTAATGATGCCTCCTTTACCATACTACATCAAAATATAAGAAGTATTAGGAACAAGCATGAAGCATTTGATGTCTTTATGAGTTCTCTTCACGTGGACATCGATGCAATATTGTTTACAGAGACATGGCTGTGTAATACTGACATGTCTCCTCAGTTCACTAACTATAATATAGCACGCTTGGATCGCGCAGGAAGAGGTGGAGGGTTGGCTATATACTTGCGGCAGCGATATTGTTTTCAAATGCTTGATGATCTTTCTGTGAGTAATGGTGACATAGAGTGCCTAGCAATAGAAACAAATTCTTTTGTACTTGCCGTGGTGTATAGACCCCCAACTGGATATAAGAGGCATTTTCTCAGTCATATGGAAAACCTCATGCATTGTTTTAATGAGATAAAAAAACCATATTTTATCATGGGTGATGTAAATATTAATATGATGAGTGAAGAGCTGTACGCGCTTGACTTGAAAAACCTTATAGCATCATATGGATGTCGGAATGCCATTATATATCCAACCCGTATTACTCACAATAGTTCCACGTCACTTGACGTCTGTATAACAAGCCTAAATAGTTGCTGATTACACCTCGGGCATACTGTGCTCAGACCTAAGTGACCACCTACCTATCTACATTTCTACACAAAACCTGCAGCACAAAATTAAATGTCCAAATATCGCGCGGTATAGATATATTGATGACAAATCACTGCTTAAGTTTACCGAATTAATTGAACGTGCTGACTGGTCACCTGTGTATGTGCAATGCAACCCAGATAGCGCATATAATACTTTCCTAGCTATTTTCCTTGAGTGCTACGATATTGCTTTCCCGATACAACAGATCAGAACACGAAAGGGTAAGAACAGAAAACCATGGATAAACAGTGACCTCCTGAAACGAATCAAGCAGAAAAACGCGCTTTTTCACAGGTTTCTTGCTACTAGAGATATTGCAATATTGCGTGAATTCAAGCGATTCCGCAACAAACTAAATAGTGACACTAGGAAGGCTAAACTTGCCTATTATGAAGCCACCTTCTCACGTATAAAATCAGAACCGGCAAAAATATGGAAACAAGTTATTTCCTTAACTGGGAGAACAGCAACGTCAAATACACCTAAACAAGTAAAAGTCAACAATATCATTCTGGAGGGTAAGGAACTGGCAAACGCAATTAACCAATACTTTGTAAATGTGGCTGTTTATGATGAAGACTCAACACAATATGAAGATGAAACAAGTAGTTGCATGAACTCTCTCGTACTACACGAAGTATTACCCGAGGAAGTCTACCGATATATAAAAGAACTAAAGACAAACGTTGCGAGTGGTTATGATGACGTAAGGGTGG